GAAAGCTAACTCGCATAGACGTGAGGCAGTGCCAAAGGGGAAAGCGAGGGGAGAGAAAGAGAAGCCGCAAAGGGCGAGGCTTGCATCACCACATACTCTCTCTTTCTTCGTTTTTTTAATCTCTTTCTCTTTGCTCCTAACACTTAACCCACGGAAGTCACACAGCACGTTCTATAGATTGAGAGTGAACAAGAAGCCTTTGCTTCAACTTATTTATTTATTTATTTATTTATTTATTTATTATTATTTATTTATTTATTTATTAAATTGAATGATTGATCCATGCGAACTTCCTAAGCAGTGCTTCGATTGCGTTGACGGCCAAACAACTGCTGAACTGCAAACATTGTGCGTGTGCACATTGTGCATTGCACATTGTGCATTGTGCACATATAAATGATGTGCAAGGCAGACAGTTCAAAATTTTGTCCTAGATTTTGTTATATTGTAAAACCAATGCGCGCATGCCACGAAGTACAACGCGCGCTTCTGCCCTCGCTTATATGGCGTTGGCAAACACAAGAAGCTTGGACTACCGATATATTTCTCTACAATTCAAGGTATTCTCATGAGAATCCCCCTGAATTGCCAGCAATGTCCATCCAAGGCTAGCTCCGCCTGCCGGTACGTCACTACCACCACCACCAGTTTGTATGACCGATATTTTTCTAGGCTTATGTACCGTACAACCCAGTGTGAACGAAAACAAAGAATTAATACGGCTGAAAAAGCTCTAATTAGCGCTACGGATAGTAATAATTACTTTAAGGTTCGTGACTCTCCATAATTTACCGGTATTTGGGAAATAATGCGTGCGCCAGAGCTATTCCCAAGAAATGACGCCATTGAATGGCCACAGTCGAGCGGCAAATTGGTTGCAGCCCACAACTATTGAAATATAAGAGTCTCTCGCACTTCATGACATATTATGACTTTAAGACATTTTATTACAGTGTTAACTGCTGCAAGCGAACTGTACATTGGCATGATATTTCAACTGATTTCAGTGTGCTATTATGTTTTTTTTTTTGCTGATAGTTCATTTTTAGGTACTACACCAGTATTCTTTTTATTTATTTTTTTTTCGCTGCAGAACTTGTTGTTATGAAGTAGCTGAGACAATGGGGACCTCAACCTCTCCACAGGAAAACAGTTATAACAGAACAGACCAGTCTCTAGAAATTAGTATTAATCAGAAGTTAGAAAACAACCAACATTGTCTAGTAATGAGCAACAATCACCAAGTATTCATCATATAAAGAAAAGCAGAATGAAAATCAAACACAGGGAATCTGGTAGAAGATGAAACTAACCTTAATGAAGTTATCGCTACACACAAAAAAACTCCCTTAATGGCGTGGAGATTGATCCCTCTAGAGCTCTCAGGGTCTGATTGGAAAGAAATCGTATGCATAAATATTTGAGTTGGCTAGACCACGGCTAATAAATTAGTTCGCTATCCCAGCGGCAATGTTTGCTGGCGCTATTGTAACTGGAACACGTGAAATATTCGAGTCCGCTATTGAACACGGCTAAGTCTACACGGAGATCAGCGTTCTCAGTCTTAAATCTGGCAAATATTGGCATAGTATTGTGTACGTTTGTTTTTTTAACTGCTGTATCATTTTTGTGTCAATCTCGATCATCAGCTCAATACATAATACCTCTTGGTGAATTCTCGTCGTTCTTGCTATGCGGTAAAGACAACTACCAGGATCAAAATTTATTGGAATCTCAGTGTTATTTCGATGGTGAATGCAGCCATTGTTGCTAGGGACAGGAGTTTTGTTTCATGCTTCGTTATATTGGCAGAAAATTTCTTGGGACAGGAAAAATTTTTGTGGACAGCTCATTACAATATAAATTTACTGAATTGAATTTACACAAATTTTCGCTTATACTCGGTGCACACAATTTGCACGAGGCTGAATTCAAGAAGAGGGCACTGAAAGAAATGGTGGATTTGAAGCGTCGTACAACATACGACACTGTTGCGATCTTGTTTCAAGTGGCAGCCGCACTTATAATTCAGTAAATCTTAGAAGAGAGGAAAGAAAAAGGTAAAATCAAATTATGGAGTCTTATTTGAAGAACCGACAATATGATCGAGGGGCAGACCATATTTTATTGAAGTTATTTGAATAATATTTACGTAGCTGACATATCAGGGGTCAGAAGACGAACGCGAGAAAGTGGTCTGTCGGTTGTGCGAGCTGTCCTCCATCTTAGTCGACGCCATACGCATCAGTTTCAATATAGATTCTAAATTGACACGCCTCGTGTCATTTTTACGTAACATCTTTGTGGTGGAGGTGCTGGGCACTTCCCTGTCTTCATCACGAATCTCCGCAACGGCCGTATCATCATAGGTCCAACCATGTCATAGGTTGAACAACCATCGTCTTCATCATCTGCCCCTTCCGTGACTTCTACGTAGCATTACACCCCCCCCCCCCTCCCCGGCGGTCAACGCCGTCTGTGACGCTAAAAAGAGGAGTGGCGTTACAAGTTTGAAATGGCTGTCTGGAATGATGCATGATCTGAGTTGCCGGCGATAGAAGTGGGGAGGAGATGCATATCCGTAGACGTTGGTCTGGCAGAACGGCACTTAAACATACAAGTGACGGTCGGTGCGAGACAAAACGTACGAAGATGGCGAGTATACAATCAGCGATTTAGTTCGGAATTCTTCAAGTAAATTCTATGAAAGGAACATTGGCGGACCTGCTTCTAAAAGAAGTATTCGAGGAAAAAAAAATGAACTTCAGCCTCTCCGCAGCAGATCAGAACAAAATAGAACAAGTTCGGGAGTTATGTAGGTTTGTTTTGTTTTAAGTGTGGGAATAACCGTCAACGAAAGTGAGCGACCAGCGAGTGAAAAGCGAGTGACCCTGGATTAACACTGACTATCAGGGGTATCGACAGAGCATGTGCAAAAATCGAAGCACGTGGGTGTTGTCCTGCACGCGGCACAGTGTCGGGAGAACAAAATTCGCTTCCCTGTTTTTGTTTCGTTATTATGAACACGCGCGCTTTTCAGTATCAGCGTTCGTCGGTAAATTAATTAAGAAATCACAATAATACAAACGTTACCCTGATAGCCGCGAGAGGGAGCGTATGTAGTGGCGCGCCAAGTCTGCTTCTTCCCAGATTAAACAGGCATCGAAGGGTGTGCTCGGATCGATTTTTTCACGGGAGCACGCCGGAGGGCAAGCGATGCACGTACAGAGGCGTATGCGCAACGGGCACTTTCTCGCGTTGCAGAGACTAGCATCTGCGGCTGTCACCTCAGTCGTGACTCGGTGTCCCCTTCCCGATCAGGCGATTCGTGCTTCCACGTCACGGATCACTCAGTAAGCTTCTTAGAGCCCAGATTGCTCTTCTCGGATGGATCCACGTCGGTCGACACCTATAGGTCCCGTGTCAGAGGTTGTGACCAAGAAGAAATAAAAGGCGATAGTACGAGGGGCTGATCGGCGTTGTGGAGCGCGGTGAACACTCAGGTAAATCAATGTACAATCTCTTTATTTGTTAGTTCCTCCACCTAACGGTTCTGAACTTGCTACTGTGTACGTGGGACTCGGCCTCAAACCTTTCATCTTACGTGTCCAACCGCTGGTGTTTCTCAGTCTAAACTACGGCACGTATTCAGGGCGCTTTTGGTTCGAGAATCCTGGAGTACATTATGAAATACACCTTCCCATTCGTCCCACACTATCTCTCGCTGTCTGGATGGCGCCTATGTGGAATATGAGAAAGGGTCCCATTAGGATGATTCCACCAGCTCATTCGATCGACAAATAATCGACGACACGTTAGACCCACGCGTTTCATCGAATGTCTCGAGATAAAATATTTTTATAACTGGCCGCTTTGCGAGTTTGTGTGTGTGTCTTAGTTATCAAGATAAAGAGAGAGAGAGAGAGAGAGAGAGAGAGGAGAGAGAGAGAGATGAACAACTGACAGTAAACCCGTCCCCAGGAGAGCAAGACATTCTTTTTCTGTTTGTGATTAGCCACAAGACATTAAGTGTCAGTGTGCTTGGCAGTATAGCAGGTTTAAGATTCGGTTTTCGTTTTAAATCAGCAGTAGCGGGCACGATATTGTTCCAGTCGCAGTGTTGCAGAATGGGCTGTCTAATATTGATAAACGAGAAATTTCCAGTGAGTTCGCTGCTTTCGTTTTTGTAACACGTTATTAACAGGGAAACGAAATATCTCACTGTTGTTACTACTGTCGACCCTAACCCCGAGAAATTGTCGGAGTCTGAACGGTTCATCTATATGTCGTTAGCCTTCAAGTTCGCAACTTGAAAATAGGTCAAAAGCCTTTGATCTTCCAACGCACTACTCACTCCCCTCCCCCCCTCAGGTGAGAAGAAAAAAAAGGGGGGTGGTGGAGAATGAATCTACTGCACTAGTATTCTATTCTGTTCGAAAGATAGAACGAGAGAAACACACCACAACCACACGACCAGTGCTGCCTATATTGCAAGATGACAGTTCTTGAAAAACATGACGCAATGTTGCGAACGAGACGAAAGAAGGGACAGAATGAGCGCCATGTCCCACCTTTCTTCTCGTTCGTAGCCTTGCGCCACGCCTTTCAAGTAGATGCGCAACAACTGGTCCAAAATATCACGTTGTCGACATGTACCCTCATCAGTTCTAAAGTCTTTTAATAAGCTTTGTTGTTCGTAGAACTGCAATAATTCATGCGTTTCCCCTTTTCGCGTGTCGTTTTAGTAGTGTTCCACACGTAAAGTGTGCTTAGAATGGTTGCTGATCGGGCGAGTTGGTCATCCATGAACGTAGCTTGTATTAGCGCAGCACATAAAAAAAAGGGACACGACACAGACGTAGAGATAGGTAGGCGCTAATCTAGCAGCGCCTACCTATCTCTACGTCTGTGTCATGTCCCTCTCTTTTATGTACTGCGCTAATACAAGCTACGTTCGTGTGCTTAGAAGGAAGTGTGGGCAAGAGAAGGCCGTGACTGACCGTCTTTCCGGTAGTAGAGCAGTTCGGTCTGCCGCTCGACCATGTTGTCGAGGGCATCCCGGAAGGCGGCCACGGCGTCCGGGTCGGTGAGCGGACCGTGCAGGAACTCGCACACGCACGATCGCTGCATCAGCTCGGCCCGGGTGTAGCCCACCAGCTCGCAGAAGCCGTCGTTGCAGTAGATGATGGGCAGGGAGTCCACCAAGGCGTTGGCCACCAGGAAACGACGGTCTGCACGGCACACCAGAACCAAGGACACGTCAGTGCCGCACATCCACAACGTCGAATGAGGCATCGTGAATACTCGATGCGCGAACAAGACGAAGGCACAGGATGACACAAGGGCACCACGCGATGTTCCGTTACCGTGTTACTCGCGCATCCAGCAGCATGAATCATGCCCAACTAGCCCACTTGTCATCCTCTCCCGTGCTTCGTTCTACTGCCTTCGATTGTTTTAACTGAAAAAGTTCATCCTCTATTTCGGCATTCGCCACTAGACGTTGGCCTTTGTTTAAGAATGCCGATTAACCACCTTTCAGTTTAGGCTCCATTATCTCAGGAGAGCAGTTGACCGGCTTTAGCATAGCTTCACCTATTACCGCTTGCGCCAACGGAGGCCCGTCATGCGAGCATTTATATATAAGTGATGTCTCCCCGATGACGCTGAATGCAAACCTTCAGCCAGACAGGAATGATGTCAATGCAGGCCAATGGCCTCCTTTTCAAAAAAAAAAAGAAAGAAACTGTATTTCAGAGGATCTGTTGCAAAAGAACAAGTTTCCTATCTTTCTTTTTATCGAGAGGCAGAAAGAACAGAGGCTACAATTCGTTACCGAGAGACGGGATAACTGAGCCTACTTTGTGGTACGTGTAGCTTGTGTTTACATATGAATGTGAGGACTCAGGTCACACCGAGGGCATTTCAATGCTCAACGATGACGATGATGATGGTTATACACTACGTTCGCGGCTACCATTCACAGTGGTGGATTGCAGGGAATCTTTTTCCCCCTCAGTAATGATGACTCATACCAAATTTAGGGGACTGACAGAGTGGGAGAATCATTCAATAGGTTCCTACAGGATAACATTACTCCGCTGCTCCAGTAGTTAAGTAATATATAAATTTAAATTCAAGATGATCAATGTTGAAATACTTGAAGCAGACAAAATTCAGCAGGGCCCACTTTTAGACTCAGTAAGGCCGCGTTCACACTGAGCATTCCGGCCGCCGAAAGTGCTCCGAATCCGGTTCGGCGGCGGCAAAATTCGCTGAAAGGGCCCTCTCCGCGTCGATCGCTCTCGGACCGATTTTTGCGGCGACTGCCGCCGAATCGGTCACCGCGGACCAATAGCAGCGCTAGTCAAGGAATTTTAAAAAATGGCGGCAAGCCCTACTCACTTGTTATGCCGCAGTGCACGTAACTGAATGTTGAAAACAACGGGAGTTTAACCTACTCTGTGCCTACTTTTCTGTATTTCGTGGAAGAGGTGACCGAGCTTGCTGTTGGCGTGACCGAGCTTGTTGTGATCTTGTAGAGCAAAACGAACCCACCAACGCCGCTGGCGTCGGTGGTTTTTTCTGTTCTTCGTGCATTACAAGACAGCCACTTGCCAGCAAAGTAAGCAGTACTGTCTTTTCTTGCTTCTTGCGTACGAGAATCGTCGAAGTATACACCACTGGATAGCGTAGTAGCGTTTGCGAGCCACGACAACAACCGGGTGACAGCGCATCCATCCCGCGTTCGCCCCGTAGTAGATGGCATATTCGGCGGTGCGGGACGCGTCCAGTGCGAACGACGCTGCGTTTCGGCGGCAGGGGAATTTCGGTCGCTGTAGAAAGCAGATGTTTCAGTGTGAACTAGGCCTAAGAGAGTCCTCAATGGTGAAGCAGATATCCTTGAGGCTGTAACCGGGAGTAAAGGTTCCAAACGAAACAATAACCAGTTCTGTTAAGCTTGGGAAGATCCTTCGAAGAAGCGGCGCCAGTATTATTTTTTAGTTGAGGTGAAACGGTGACAGGTGATAAGGAAGTGGGGAATCGTTACCTAATCATCCCAGAAGCACGGAAAATGGAGGCCACGAAAGCAAACCTGTGCAAATTTAAATTAAGGGTGGGAACGCGGCAACGTGATTTCGTGATGTCCCCTTCCACAATCCTTGAGTTGCATAAGTCACTACGCCGGGGAAACGGAATGTGTTTATATCCAATCGGTAGAAGCAGTCAGTACGGGGTTTCATAACCCTTTTCTGCATGTAAGCGGGCAAAAACTAGGTGTCGCGATGTGCACTCTTGATTGGAGAACATGATTATCACTGTGGAGAGCGACGTCTTTGCGAGTGGATTGGCAGTTGTTTTTATAAGGTAGGTATAGGAAAAGCGCAACAGTTTCCTACAACCGTCTTCGTAGCTGTAAGCCAAATCAGAGATGACTCGTACACAAACCCCGTTGTCCAGGAAATGGTCGAATGGTAGCATACACATTTGTATTAAACCAGGAAAATCAATAAGGACGTTCATTTGTGTCTTTACCTGTAGAGTACCAATTATAATGTGAACTGAAATGAATTGAAGAATATCCCACCAACGAAACGGGGTTTTGTCGTCCACTTCAGTTCATATCTATTTATATCACAATTGGTACACTGCTCTTGAAGGCAAAAAAGTAACGTCATCCATATTTTTCTGGACTAATCATAATGCCACGTTCCATTTCTCAAGTTTTGTGTTCGCCCCAAAACACTACACAATTCTCAGCGCAAAACGCACGTGCAGTTTTCGAGAAGCTTCCGGACTTTAGTAGATCATTTCGATAAGATCACGCCCACTCTGCGAATCGTACAGATTATTTTGGAACATACGCCATCACCAGCGATAACGCTAGAACATTCGATGGCAAGAGTATAAATGCCGACGCACTTCGCCGCCTGTCAGTAGTTGATCGACGGCCGACACTCCGTTCACCGCTATCAGTCCAAGACTGCTACTGTAATCGGACTTTCCGTTTACCGAGCCCAGAATCGCCCAAATAAACAGTTAAATTCTAACCCAAAGTCTCCTGTCTTCGGCCACGTCACGACCCCGCGACATCTGGTGGAGGTGCTGTTTTTTCCATGTACCGGACGCCTCCTTAAAGCCGCGACCCCAGCCCAAGCGTCAAAGAAGACACGGACGCTAACCCTGAACAGCGAAGAAGCCGCAGGCAGAGGGGACTACAACCGAGTACGGGCCCCTTCCTGAAGCAGCCAGGCAGACTCGGATCCCGACATCAACTACTGCAACCATGACCGCCCCCGTGCAGCCTGCACCACTCCTGCTCCGGCAACCCAAAGAGCCGCCAACATTTCGCGGTTCGCCACTGGAAGAACCGGAAAGCTGGATCGAAAGGTTCGACCACGTCGCCGCCTTCAATGACTGGCCAGACGATGACAAGCTCCGGCATGTGTATTTCGCCTTAGAAGATGCTGCTCGGACCTGGTTCGAGAATCAAGAGCGAAGCCTTACAACGTGGGACATCTTTCGCGCCAGGTACCTCACCACTTTCGCAAGTGTGGTGCGCAAGGAGAAGGCCGCAGCTCTTCTAGAAATCCGCATGCAGATGCCAAACGAAAACGTGGCGATATTCACGAAGGATATGATTAAACTTTTCCGCCACGCTGACTCCGACATGTCCGAGGAGAAGAAGGTGCGTCTGCTCATGCGAGGAGTAAAGCAGGAACTCTTCGCCGGGCTGATCAGAAACCCGCCAAAGACGGTCGCCGAATTCGTTTCAGAAGCATCTACGATAGAGAAGACGCTCGAGATGCGCACGCGGCAATATAACTGTAGCTTCTCGTCTACCAGCTACGCTGGCATTCAAGCGCTTGGAACCACTGACTTGCGTGAGACGATCCGAGCGATCGTGCAAGAAGAGCTGCGAAAATTACTTCCTTCAGCGCAGCCTCACGTGGAATCCATCGGGGACGTCGTACGCCAGGAGATCCAGCAATCGCTGGGCGTTCCTCAGCCTCGAGAGCCTCAGATGCAAGCCATGAGCTATGCTGCTGCAGCCCGCCGCCACGCCCCTCCTCCACGCGATCGCCAAAACGCGGCCCCATCGCACTTCCGCCGCTAGACGGAAGTGCGATGGGGCAGCGTTTTGCCATTAATATTGTCACGTGATTAATATTGTCACGTGATCAATGTTGTCATATCACGACCCCGTGACAATATTAATTGATTCAATCGTCTGTGTCTAATATACAAGCGAGCCCCCTGCAAAAAAAAATTCTTTCGATCCCGCATTTACTTTGCTGTACAAACCATCGCAACTGGCAGAGCAAATTCATTATTAAGCGACCAGCCTTAGAGTGTATTCTCAATGCATGCATGCAGTGCTAAACTTATTCCTGTAAAATTAAGCTGTAAATTTTGGGTGGCCAGTTAACCGACTCGACGCATCGGCAGCGAATTCGCAACGCGGGTTAAGTCCTTTCGCCATCTAACCAAAAGCCGGCAATACAAACATTCAGAAGCCCGTCTCAAGTGCTAGGAAGCGAACGAATTTAAGTGATACGTGTGCAAAAAATAATAACTCACGAGTAAGTCTCGCTTGAGACTGCCGATGTCGGTACTAATATCCCTAAAATTAACGGCAGCTCATAGATCGCCGTAAAGATTTGCATACAGGGCGGTGACACTTAAATACTCTCCCCTTCTCCATCTTTATAAGGTCACCCGGGTGTTTAAGTGGGCAGACGACGAGAGTTCCGAGCATTTGTTAGTTTTTTTATCGCCTTGGTTGCTCTTTTATAGGCAAGAAAAGAGCACGCAGCGAAATCACACGGACGCTCTGAATTGCACTCAAGCACCGCAAGTATCGCGTAGCAAACGGCCGTACATTATTGTTTTGGGGCGAGGTTTATGAATTCCAGTTTTCCAGCTAAGCCATAGAATTCTAGCAAGGCCATAAACGCTAACTCAGAAAGAGAGAAAGAGAGAGAGATCGATGGCCTTGGCGGTAAACAACTGCATGATAAACGCACCGTAAACAGGCGCGACGCGTCCGACTAAAAATAACTATATATAGACAGGGGCAATACAATCTTTGCGCAAAGAACGCTGCAAAAGAGATATATCGCATCCGTAGGTTCCCGTGTTTCTTCATTGGCGTGCGCCATTGGCATCGCACCACTTGTTTAGTTCTTTCTTGACGCGGTGCTCGCCTCGCTATAGCAAGCTCTGCGCG